GTTATATATATATATATATTGAAAATAGGTAATGGATATATATATATATTATGAAACAACATGAAAGTGAATGAAACAAGGACCAGAGAGAAGTTGGAGAATAATATCAACAAGAAGAAAGAAAGCTAAACTTGTATTTTATTTCACAAAAATAGACTTATTTATAACATGAAAAAATTGTGACTCTTAAAATGAAAATTTATTATATAATAATTCTATAAATAATTTCTATTTATATTATAATTCTCATACGTTGATAATTGTTATATGCAAATATCAATTAATTTTAAAGAAAAGAAACTCATTAGTCTTATGTTGGTTATGAATTAAAGCTCTCAAGAAATAGTTATTTCTATTGGTGGACAATTGAAATTGCCAAGAATATTATTGTTTTTGTTGGTGTCTGTAAGGACAAGGCCGAGGTGCCAAGCCTCGGACTGCTACAGTAATTTCTTTATGACCGAAGTGAGGAATAAATCCAAAACTTCCCGCTCGAATAGCTGCATGACAATGACAATAAGCATACCCGCACCTGATTCCTTATGATGAGCGGCACAGCAAGTATGGTGGACATCCGTGTATCTAAATACCTCTCAAATTCCCAGTCTCGAAATAATCGTCTGGATGGACACGTCAGGCTCCGACTATCTTGCTTGGCATGCCACGTGGGTTCCTCATTGGATCCTATAAATACCCCCTCCGGGCCACGTCAAAAGGTAATTGAAACCTACCATAAGCTCCTTTTATCTCCGCTCTAGAGATAACCCCGATTATTGCTGACTTAAGCATCGGAGTGTCTACCCTGAGGTCTACCTCGGGGCTTTGCAGGTCATCCCTAAGTGCAGTTGCGGACTGAAGAAGGACTTCTGGTTCGTTGCAATTACATTGGCGCCGTCTGTGGGAATTGAACTGAAAGCTTTCTAGTTGCTCTTTCATTATGGTTCACACCCGATCAGTCAGAGCTGGTAATTCATCTCTGCCTCATGGGCAAGGTCAACCCCCAACAACCTTCCACCTCTGATTCCACCTCAGCTCCCAACTCAACTTCCACCTCAGCTTCCACCTCAGGTCCCAATTATGTTCCCTCCTGTTGATCATGTAGAAGGAGGAGATGAAAATCAACCTCATGCTTCAGCTCATAACTCAACTTCCACTGCCAACCAAGACGTAGTGGCAGCTCAGCTTGCTGCCATGCAGCAACAGTTCGGTGTCTTTCAGTTGGTACTGGCTCAGCTTTTAGCTAGAAATAATCCTGGTGATCCCCTCATTACCTTACTGAACCCTGCTCAACAACCCCCAGCTCCACAACAGAATCCTCAATCGGTTCAACCTGCTCCCGCTGTTAGCGAATCTCAAGCTCAATCCCACATAGCACCCGCTCAACAACCCATCCCTGATGATGTTACTCGCCGCCTCGATAGC